GTGTGTGTGTGTGTGTGCGTGGCCATTGTAGGACAGAAACACGAGGAAAGGAAAAAGAGAACAGTTCGAACGAGGCACACTGTACCTAAAATGAAGAAAAAGTTCGTCTTAGTGTTGAAAAGAAGAAAAAAGAAGATATTGCCCCCACAAGGAGAGAGAAAATGGATTCTTGGAGATTTCTGCTGCTTTGGGACCTGTTTGTGGCTTTCATATAAGGAAACCCCTCCGAAGAAGGAGTCTGAGAGACTCAACGGAGTCAGGAAGACACAGGCAAGGTTGCCATGCAGATATTTTGAAGGAAGGAATAGAGAGTAACAGAGAGTCTGTATTTCTAATAGCCGTATTTACAGCCACACTCAGATGGAAAGTGCTATGGCCCGTGGGAGTCTGATTAAGGCGTGGTCTCAAAGCATAAAGGGTTTTGCCTCCCTGCGCATAATGCTACACACAGTGCTGGGGGGCCGGCCTCGGAGTGCTACTCCTCCACTTACTAACCACCATCTGAAACAGACAGCTACGTCACGTCTCTTCCTGTGCTAAACCAGTGCTACAAAACACAGGGGACAAGCTCAGACCCAGCGACGTACAAAAACTTGAACTATTTATGACTGAAAATTTCCCACGAAAGATCTGAAAAAAAAATCTATTGTGTGTTAACACAGGATTTCCTTTTTCTTGTGGTTTGAGGGTGAAACAGAAGAGAACGATAAAGTCATGACAATAATAGCTAATAGAGAGAGAGCTTGTTTATGCCAAGAACACTCATATACAGACCAATGCCTCACGGGCATTGTCTTGCGACTTTATGAGGGAGACCCGATCCCTCCCGTTTCATAAAAGGAGAACCTGTGGGCATTCTGACAGCCTGCGGGGACTCAAAGTACGTTCCTTTGAACCATTGTAGTCCGGGGAACAAAAGACGTCTGAAAGGGCAAGAGCAGGGATGTGAGGTGGAGGGTCAGGAGTGCAAGAGAAGTGCTCGGAGGCCCGCCTTTGCTCTCGCTGAAGCAGACGATGCCTGGTCCTGATGGGGAAAGCAGCGCTGGGGGGCCTGCGTCTCATCGTCGTTGTTTTCCATTCTCTTAAACTCCTTCATCATGAGCCCGTGGTCGTCCAACATGCTTCAAGGAAACCCAGCAAGATTTCCTCTTTGGAGGAAGCAAAGCACAGCTGCCTTCTACGAGGACCTTCTCTGCCTCGAATTGAACTCGCCCCACAGGTCCTCTCGGAAGTCACTGTTTGTAGTTGGTTCTTTTTTTTTTTTTAAGGGACCCCAAGAAAACTAGGATGAATGTGTGACTGAGAGAACGTGTCTACAGCCAGCCATTGACTGCAAAGGCATATTGAAAAGCCTTTTGTCCGGCTTGACCGCTACAAACTGGACCGCTAGTGGCCACGCTTTGTGACTGACCCTCCTCTATACCCACACGGCGTTCAGGCTTTATCTGGAAGGAGCTCAGACAGGAACACATGGAATACCCCTCTGCTGATATCACTTAGAACCACTATAAACTGGGAATGCTAGATTAAAACTAGTTAGAAATTCTTTGGGGATGAGGAGATAGCTTTTTGATGGGGGGAAATTCCTAATAGAAACCAAAGTTTACAGCTGTAGAGTACCTGTAAATACAACACCTGACGCGTAGAAGAGTGGAAATGGGACAGAGCAAAAGAAGGCACTATA